CTAGAAACTTCAGCTCTGCAGTGGCAAATGCCACTGGGAGACACTTCATCCTAAGGCAAAAAGCAGGTCAGAAGAGGAAAAATAAAAAGGTATTTCTGCTATCATTGTCTCCTCACCCTGAAACTGGCACTGATATAGGAAGTATGTTCAGTTCCTGTAACTCCCAGGTAAGGATGCAGACATTACATAATTCATATTCTAATATCTCTTCAGCACTAATCCCCCGTGACTCAGGGCTACAGCTGAAAATTCCAGGTAACAAAGCTTTTTTCTACTGTTACTTCCAAATAATCTTTAGACTTCAGAAATCCCCAAAGTGTTATTTAATATCTGTAGTATTGGCTTAACCTGTTTTGGTTAGAAAGCTCGTGGTTGCATATTTTTATTAAGTGATTAATATTACTTATTAAAAGGAGAGAAAAATTGCCTTGGTGACCGAGTGGTGATTCTGCCCACCCTTTGGGAAACCCATGCTTTTAAAGGAACTTTAAACACAGAATGAGAAGGGGGAAAGGTTAAAAGACAGGTCACACTAATTTCTTTTTAAACAGCTCTGTTTCAGACAGTAGGTCTCGGTGGAAATGAAAACAAATATATTAAATATGAATGACAGAAACTGGTATCACATTAAATGCGAGACTTTTGTAGCTAATTTTGATTAAAATAAACATTGCTATTTATCGGAAAGTTAGGGGGAGGGTTGAACATTTTGAGCAGATTCCTACATCAAAAAATGTGTTTTGTAAAGAAACTATATGTCAAATTATAGCTATTTGCTTTCAGCTTTCAGTTATTTCGTTTTGTACTTTTCATGTGTCAGTATTTTTTTCATTTCACTTCTTTATTCTGTACTACAAGTAAGTCTCTTTAGAGCAATAAGATCTTTAAAATCCCTTTAGTGTTTAGAAATGTCAACAATTCAGTAGATTATACTTGATGAATAGGCCAGATAGAAAAAAAAACTGCCTCAAGTTTTTATCTCAAGTGAAGTAAGGTGCTTTGAAGAGCACTTGATTTGAGATTTAGAAGCCTGCCACTATTCAGCCAGTCACTCTTGAGAGCTGTTAAGTCCTGACCCATAGCATGAAAACAGGTTGCAGGGAGGGAGGAAACACCAGTAAGAAATGTATTTTGTACTCCCTGTGTAATTATTTCTTCTAAATACCACTTAAACATTTCTTCCTATAAATAAGTAAAAACCTAAGAGACAAGGCAACCTTATCAGACCATCTTATTTGAGTATTTTGAATGTAGCTGGAACTTGCCAGGGGGAACAGCTACAGCACTGGAAAAAAGATGAGGCTCTAAAGGAAAAAAAAATATATCTAAATGGTTCTTTCCATTTGAATAGACTACACTGACACACTAAGGCTTCGTATTTTTGACAAGAGACACAGAAAACAAAGAGGTTTTCACTTCAGAATACGCAGTGGAAGCACACGGAGCGGTTTGGTTTGCTATAACTATAGAAAAAGATTTTTTTTCATCCTTTGCTATCACCTCCACAGTCTAAAACCAATCTCAATACCAGATTACAATGAATTAATTCAACATCACAAAGCAATCAGTTTAAGATATCTGAAAAGCAATAATAATAATGTCAGATGCAAAGCAATGCAAACTGTAAACCAGCCCTCTCGTAGGAATATCTGTATTTAACAGATGATTGTGCTTGTGCACAGGCTCTCTCCCCCAGCACTACAGCTTTGTAACTGGTTCCTTCTTGAATAAGAACTTAGTTAATAACCTAACAGCAACTGGCCACATTATTTGGGCAAATGTCTCATCAGTATCTCCTGCCCTACTTTCTGCATCTCTGAGTCGCATAGAGATATAAAAGAAAAGGCAAAACTAGGTCATTCCTGGGCTGAACAAAAGAATTTTTGTAGTAGTATAAATTACTGACCTTTCTAATAAGTCTGTCTTTCCCAGCAAACCAGGTCATCCAATCCAACTCAACTAATTAATGGTATCCTCCAATAACTAACAATAACCGAAGCACACAATCCAATGAATTTGGGAGGAATATTCCTGTGGCTTTTCTAAAGCTGTCACACTTAAGAAATACTCTCCTAAATTAGAATAAATTCTGGGGATTGTGTTCAATTATTAGTTAGCATAGACCAATTGTTATTACAGTAGCAGTTTTGTTGATAAATTGATTGATAAAGTAGCAGTTTTATTGATAAATTGATTGATAAAACTCATTGATTGATTGATTTCATTATCAATGAAACTCATTGATAAACTTCACTGTACCTGAGCCTATCTGGGACCCTGCAGGGTCCTTTTTACCTGGGATCATTCACCCCTTAATTCATCACCTGTAAGCTCACTGAATGTCAAGGATTTATCAGTTCTCAGAAAGACAGAAAGATAAACATAATAAGAATTTCTGAAATGAAATATATGATGGATATACAAACAGGAAGCAGCTTACTGAACAATATCGCTGGTGGTTTTATGGCCACAAGAATAAGAAGATATAAAGTAGGAAACAGCCTCCACAATCATATTTTTGTGTTCTAGATCCAGGATACTGCCCTAAAAGCAGCACTGTGAACACTCAGACTACCCCATCGATTGCAGGAAACAACCACTTTTAATTCTGAAAGATTTGTTACTCTGAAGTTACTAAT